CTATGTTGAAGGGCTAGTTGAATTTTTTTTTTTTTTCTGTGAAGTTTTTCATGACCTTTGCCCATTTTTCTGATGGATTGATTATTTCTAGGAGCTCTTCAAATGTTAGAGGAACGATCTCCTCGTTAAATGAATTGCAAATAGGTTCCCCAGATTTTTGTTTGTTTTGATTTGCGACTGGGTCGTGGCCACACATGGGCTTTTGTTTCCTGTGCCACCGAACTTCTCAGTCTTTTCCTGTTGCTTCTAGATGTTGAGTCAGAGTTTCAAAGGCCTTCCTCATTCCAAGATTGTGAAGGAATTCACCGCTGTTCTCTTCTGGTTCTTGCAAGATTCAGTTTTATATAAAAATATTTGGAGTTTCGGGGCGCCTGGGTGGCGCAGTCGGTTAAGCGTCCGACTTCAGCCAGGTCACGATCTCACGGTCCGTGAGTTCGAGCCCCGCGTCAGGCTCTGGGCTGATGGCTCAGAGCCTGGACCCTGTTTCTGATTCTGTGTCTCCCTCTCTCTCTGCCCCTCCCCCGTTCATGCTCTGTCTCTCTCTGTCCCAAAAATAAATAAACGTTGAAAAAAAAAATTAAAAAAAAAAAAAAAATATTTGGAGTTTATCTAAGTACATGGCATGCCATTTATTTCCAGCTTCAGTCTTTTCCCGATGACTCTCCAGTTTTGACACCTTTTTTTAGAAGTCTGTGTTTGAGATGCCAGCTTTATATGCTAATTTCTGTGTGTGTTTAGGTCTTTTTCTGAGTGTTTTCTTTTGGCCCATTGATTGGTGGGTCTGTTCATGAGCTAGTAACATGTTGTTTTAGTTATTCTAGCTTTACAATATGATTTAATATCTGGAATTGTTGGTCCCCTTTAATTGTTCTTCATTCTCAGTTTCCACAGCCATTCTTTCTTGTTCTTCCCCCCCACCCCCACCCCTTAATTTTAGATAGAGAATCTTAAGCAGGTTCCATGCTCAGCACAGAGCCCAACATGGGGCTCACTCCCATGACCCTGGGATCATGACATGAGCTGAAATCAAGAGCTAGATGCTCCACTGACTGAGCCACCCAGGTACCCCTCCTGTTCTTTTTTGATAATGTACTCTAGAATCAGCTTTTAAGGTTCCAGAAAGCAAAATTGTTAATATTTTTATTGAGATCATATTACATTTATATGTTAACTTGCAGAGAATTGACAGCTTTGTGAGATTGAGTTTTCCTAGCTAAGCGCGCGTTTTGTGTTTCCATTTGTCCGGGGCTTCTTTTGAATACTTCACATGTATTTTCTTTTGTTGATTTATTTATTTTGAAAGGGAGAGAGAGAGAGAGAGTGAGAGAGAGAAGAGGTGGGGGAGGGGCAGAGAGAGAATCCCAAGCAGACTGTGCCCTGTCAGTGCAGAGCCCAATACGGGACCCAAACCCACAAACTACAAGATCATGAACCCGAGCCGAAATCGGATGCCCAACCAACTGACCCACCAAGGTGCCTGTACTTCACGTGTGTTTTAATATATTTGACATGTGGATTGTGCATGTTGGGATATATTGCAGAAAAGACCATTATTCCCCAGGCCCTTTGCGATGTGACTTGGTACCTCCTTCAGTCAAGAGATGGAGTCCTTTCCTGACCTGTTGATTTTAACCAATAGAGAATGTGAAGGAAGTACCATTGTGCCAGTTCTAAACCTAAGTCTCAAGAAGGCCTTGCTGAAAGAAAGAAAGAAAGAAAGAAAGAAAAAGAAAGAAAGAAAAGAAAAGCTCTTGTGACAGAATTCACATAGCAAAGAATTCACTCTTTTCAAATGTACAAAGGGCGCCTGGGTGGCTCAGTTGGTTGAGCAACCGATGTCGGCTCAGGTCCTGATCTCTCAGTTTGCGAGTTCGAGCTCCGCGTCGGGGGTCTGTGCTGGCAGCTCGGAGTCTGGAGCCTGCTTTGGGTTCTGTGTCTCCTCTCTCTACCCCTCCCATGCTCATGCTCTGTGTCTCTCTGTCTCTTAATAATAAATAGACATTAGGGGCGCCTGGGTGGCGCAGTCGGTTAAGCGTCCGACTTCAGCTCAGGTC